CTAGCTCCGATAGTAGGCGCCATCACGACACCCGATGGTGGGAAATCCGGGTCGTGACAGAAGGTCCCTTAGCAAGATGCCTCGGGCCTTCTCAAACAGAATATGTAATGAAAGAAATACATGAGGGGCATTGTGGAAATCACGTAGGAGGAAGATCATTAGTAAAAACCATGATTAGAGTAGGCTATTATTGGCCCAAAATGGAAGAAGAAGCAGAAAATTTTGTGGCTAAATGTGATAAGTGTCAAAGATACGGTAACAATATGCATAGACCTGCAGAGTTGCTACATCCGATCATTGCACCATGGCCTTTTATGAAATGGGGGATGGACATTGTGGGTCCGCTACCACAAGCAAAAGGCAAGGTAAACTTTCTGCTAGTACTCACTAATTACTGTACCAAATGGGTGGAAGCACATGCTTTTAAATAGGTACAAGGAAAGGAAGTCAGAGATTTCATTTGGCGAAATATTATATGTCGATTCGGTGTACCAAAGGAAATCATGTATGATAATGGCCCGCAATTTATAGGCGCACAAATCACAGAATTTTTTCAAAGTTGGCAGATTAAAAGGATTACCTCAACGCCTTACCATCTTGTGGGTAATGGACAAGTTGAATCAACAAATAAAATCATTGTCAACAATTTGAAGAAACGATTGGAAGAATCCAAAGGCAATTGGCCAAAGTTGATGCCTGGTGTTTTATGGGCGTATCGCACAACAGTAAAAACAAGTACGGGTGAAACACCGTTCTCATTGGTATACAGAGTTGAAGCCTTAATTCCAGTTGAGATAGGGGAGATAGGGGAGTTGAAGCCTCATTGGTATACCAATTGCGTATACCATTCTCATTGGTATACGCAAGCGACTGAGGAATCCAATGAAGAAGAAATGTGAATAAACCTTGATCTACTTAAAGGAAAAAGGGAAGCTGCATTAATAAGAATGGAAGCACAAAAACAAGTCATGGAACGATATTATAATCGGAAAGCTCGCTTAAAATACTTCAAGATTGGAGACTTCGTACTCAAGAAAGTTTTTCAATCCACGAGAGCCGCTAACGGAGGGAAATTAAGTCCAACTTGGGAAGGACCTTACAAGATTCACGGTATCGCAGGAAAAGGAGCATATGAGCTGGAAGCAATGGATGGCAAGATATTACCTTCATATTGGAATGTCGTTTACCTGAAGAGATACTATTTCTAAGGAGTACCCACGGTCATATATCCTCATTTTAAAATTTTATTTTTGAATTGTTAAAATTTTACTAACGATTTTAGATGATAGGCAAAAAGCTAACCCGTAATAAATGATGAATCACGACCTGCAAGGCACGTGGGAGAATATAAATTCCCCGTCTAGGGTTACAACTACTCTGATAGAAATTCAGACGGGTTAAGCAGTCTTCATCTATAATCGCACCTCCGAGTCCCGTATGTTTTTTCCTTTTCAAGAAATGGACCAAATGAGAGGATCAATCAAGTGCTCGAGACTTCATACTTCAAAGCTCAAACATTTGGGGGACTATATAAATACATAGACATATATGTAAAGAAGGCAAAGAAGATTGAGATATAATCAAAGTTCAAGTCAAGGTCCGAAAAGTCCACTCATTGAATGAGTCAGTGCAGAGCAAAGATACGAGCCAATAACATAAAGCCAAAGAAAACCTTATCATAGTTAGGTTAAAGGCAATGTATAGAAATGGGTTATAAATAAAAACCTCGTATTTTATTTTCTTTTTTGAAATCTGTTGTACAAAAAACAGTTACGAAAAAGTTATAGAAGTTATTTAAATGCATGTAAGATGTTATTGACAAAGTTCAAATAAAAACTTTATCAAAGTTATTTCAAGAAACATATGTGTTCCTATTTCTCTTGTCGTACATTTGCACCATTATGAAGTTGAGACGTCTTCTTCATTAAGTGTAGAATATAAAAGGGTCCTCTTTTATAAAATTTATGTTTGATTCAAACATTCATGAAATTAAGAAAGCATTTTATGAAATAAAAGTGCAAATTATTTAACAAGTCCTTGAATATAAAGGCAAAAATGAGTAAAACAGAAGCTCAGAATAACTAAGTCAAAATGGAAAACTTCTTAATGTTGAAAAGTCTAGACTAAGTATGAACTTAGTCATTAACTATTGGTCATTTATACAAAACGCCCCAAAAAAATTTGGGGACTTGTTGTTTCCAAAACTAAACCCCCAAATGGGACCGAGGGTTAAAACCACATTCCACCAAAAGAAAAAAAAGGAGTCACATATCATAAACTTGTCACTGAGGAGCTGAAGAAGGATCTAGAGTAGGGTCACCAGCAGCAGAAGGTTCGCGTTGGCTTGAAGGAGTTGGAGCATTGACCATACCCATATCATCTTCAATATGCTCAGGCGTATCAGCCATGGGAGAGGAAAAATCTTGGCCTTGCTGAGTCTTTTCAATAGTTTCTTTTATCTTAGCTAATTCAGCCTCCAAGTTAAAGCCCTCTTGGCTAGCTTCCGCAAGGGTATCATGGCGAGTGTTCAATAATGCCCAACTCACTTCAATTGCAGTCTTGTCCTCAAGAATTTCGTAATCTTTTTCCCATTGATCATCTCGTTTTTAAGTTTTTCATTCTCAACCAAGGAAGAATCATGAGAAGCTTGCAAAGGAGCGAAGAACTTTCTAATAAACTGATCTTATAAGAAGACTTACGGAGATATTCTTGGGTCTGAGTAAGCGTTTGTACAAGTTCACCAACATAAGCTTATTTCTCACTCAGCAAAGCCTTCAACGCTCTGTTTTCTTCACTGGCCTTGGAAAGTTGTTCAGAAAAAAATGTTTCAAAAATATTCTTATCCTTATCAGCTTGATTCGAGGAAGCCTTCTTAACTGTCAATTCTGAAGTCAAAACCCTCAATTGCTGCTCTAAGGTGCACTTGTTCTCTTCTAACACTTCCATATAAATTTGAAGGCTTTCATATTGTTCCCTCTAGTTGTCTGCTTCAGTTTGATAATCATGCATTAACTGGTCCGTGTGAGAAACCCTCTTCATCATTTCTGTGCCAATTAGATTGATCTAAAAAAGAAAAAGAGAGGTAAGAACCCTAATAGAAGAAGGGTGTAATAAAGTATAAAAAGGGATACCTTTAAAGATGAATGCACTATGTCATTTATCAAAGTCAAAGAGTTGTGGCTCTCAAGCTTGGATCTCTCAACTGGTCCAATCAGAGGTTTCAACCACACATCAGCCCAACTTGATTTTCTCAAAAGGTTACCATCGGTAGGAACCTTGATGATAACTTGCTTCAAAGTTCCACCTCCACTTGAGGAACCAGCTTCAGTGTAATGAACAGTTGTAGGAGGAACTGGGGAAGCAGTCAAAACAGCTTGGGGCGGAGTAGCAACAGCAGCAGTCACAACTGGTAAAGAAGATACCACAGGAGTAGGAATGGAAAATGAGGCAAGGGGCACTCCCTCAGAAACTAGGCCCAAATTTTCGTCATCAAACCCACGAGCAAATAGCTGATCAACAGAAACACGAGCAGCCGCGGGAGTGTCATCATAAGAGATCACCAAGGTGGCTTCAACAGGCTCGGTTAAAGAAACAGAATGGGGGAGATGTTTCATCATCTGAAATAATGTGTCTTCTAGCTTGTGGCCTTTTTATCAAAGAACACCCCGTCTTGTTCCTCTTCTTCTTCTTCAGAATCTTGGTCGACAGAAGCTTTCCTTTTCGATGAAGAACCCAAAATTATTTCTTGGGCTCTTTCCAAAGAAATTCTGGAAGCTACGACGGCCTCAGCACTTATGCCTCGAATGGGAAACCCTGACAAAAAGAAGGGTCAAAGTAATTTCTAAGGAAAGAAGTAAACAGAAATGCAAAAGGTGTAAAAAGAAAAACACTTACCGTGAGTTCTCACTTTCCAACCAAACCGATGAGAAAGGTTTTTCCAGGATCTACCATCCATTGGAGCAACACTTAACAGCTTTTCTACCCAACCACAAAAATTGGGAATCTCATCAACAATTCCCATGGTAGCTGAAAAAGAAGAGGAAATTAAAATGACAACCATCAAAATTGAGAAAAAGGTATGAGAAAGTTATAAAAAAAGAAAACTCACGTGCAAAATTCCACTTCTCAGGAAAGGGAACATTCTCTTGACCCACTAAACCAACAGGCGGGGCAGCAACAAACTTGGCATACCAGTCACGGTCCTTATCATCCTCTGGGCTGACCAGAACTCTTTTGCTTCTCGCTACTAAAGTAAAGATTCCTTGACGAAAGAGTTTGGGAGAATAAAGATGGATTAAATGGAAGAAAGTAAAAGGTATGCCAGCCATGTTGGCCAAATGCCTCAAACAAGCAACAGCCCTCCACACGATAGGGCCAATTTGTCTTAAGCAAACATCGAAAAAGCGACGGAATTCGATGATAACAGGGTCAATAGCAAGTTTGAAATTCAACGTGAATGGGTATGTATATACGAACGAAAACCCAGTCAAATAAGAAGTAATTCTTTGGTTTGCATTGGGAATTATAATGGGGAAATCACGACTCCAAAGGCAATCTCTACGAACCACTGAAATCAAACATTCAGTGATCTGAGTCGAGTAAATATCAGCACGGTCTAATGAAGACATAGAAGAAACTTGGTTTCTGATGGACTCTCTATCATTGTAAAAAGATAGTTCATCAGGAACAATTTCATCTACTAAAGGTTCACGTAGAGGTTCAGTAGGTTCTTTATTTCTAGATGAAGATCTTTGAAAAAGAGAACCTCTGGTTCTAGAAGGTGGAGTAGAACTCGTTGAAGGAATAGAAGGACCTCGTGAAGATGAATATCCTAAACTACGAAGTCTTCCTCCTTTCCTACTTCTAATAGGAGCAAGAGGAAGGTTATCAACGATGGGGACTCTCCGAGGGTTAGGGTTTGAAGAAGACCTAGTAGTACGAGGAAGAAGAAAACGAGAATTGAATATTCTAAACCTTTTGTGAAAAAGACAAAGGTGAAAAGTTATATTTATAGTCAGAAGCAACCGTCAAAGGAAAAAGTGCAATGATGGAAACGTCATGATGAGAACTATCATTTCGTAATTGGTGAAGCCTTAAAAGATGCTGAAAAATTGCAGAACCAACCAGGAGATGCCATGTGTCACGGACATTAAATGGAAGTGACAAATGAAGCGTCAGTTTCAGAGAAGAATTAATAGCGGCAAAAATTCCCGCTTTAATGAGATCCACTTCCCAAATATTTTATTGATGAATAAATGACAAGTGGGGGGACTATCTGTATTGGGAAAAATTAAGTTCATATATGGAATTGATTGTAAGATGACACGTCATGACATGTGGATTGGTCAAAGGATGATGGTTGGCAAAGAATAATCAAAGAGTCACGAGCTTCAACAGGCACGGGCAGATATTCAGGAAAAACAAGAAAGATAGATGTTCGAACCTCTTTATGATTGAAGAGAATGAATTTGATAGCAAAAAAGGTATAGATACGTATTGCCAGGCATTAAATACGGAAAACGTTAGGGAATCTGTATTGAATCAAATATGATTACCAATTATAACGTTACATTAAATGCCATTAATTGTCAATAATGGCTCTATTATGGTAGAAACAAAACGTATTACCTAGAGATAGCTATAAAAGGAGAAGACTGATCATTTGTAAGGGTACGAAATATCATTGGAATATATTAATTCACTTTGTTTTATATTCATCTATTATTTATCGATTATTCCTATTTTTATTTGGTTATCAGTAGCCCGAGTTCTTCTAAAATAAGCTTTGGCCGAAATCCCTTTTTTGGTTAAACAGAGAAAGCGGCCAAATATTGACGAATCTCTTTGTCGGGTGTTCGTTACTTCCAAAACCTTCCAAACACTTTGCAACCATTCTCCTATATGTGCAAGTAAATGCAACTTGTTAAAGTCTAAATTACGCCAAGTCACTAACAAAGGTGTCCATGTGTTCAACAGTGTAGGTGTTAGTTTTTTTCTCTAAGGATTGTGATTGTTAATAAAGGATACGAAGGATATTTGAATTATGGAGAATCAATCAATCGGAATTAGGGTTATGTTAAGTGGAAGCAAAAACTGAAGTGGTGCCGGTTCATTTCAATAGTTACGGACACATCACTTAAGTTTATTTTAGTTTTAATTTTTATTTTTTATTTTTGTAATTAGAATATTTAAATTATTATTTAGAAGGGTAGTTATGTAATTTGGCTTTTAAGCTTTGGGCTTCTCACTTTTAATATAACTAGTTTCTCCTCACTTGCATTGCACTAGTTATGTAAAATTGACTTCTATTACTAGTCTTTGCTAAGATTAGATTGCTCATCAACACTAACGACTCAAGCAAAACATATTTGGACAAACCTGGACATTTTTTATTCATTATTAGATTTTCATGTGTCTGCTTGTGGCATTTTCTCATAATCTTCCCAGTAAAATATATGAATCCTCATTATGTAGTCGAACAATCATGCGAAAATTAATATCCGAAAATTCTTGTAAAATATTAAAAGTAATTCAATGGCGTAAAATTATGCAAGAGAATTTTAACAAAAAAATAGAAAATAAATGTAGGCAAGATGCTTTTAGAAAAATACATTTTTTTCACATGGTGCAAATGGTAAAAAGATAAAATTCTATTGCCAAAATACAATAATAACTACTCAAGGGATTAAAGTGAAACTCATTTAATAATCTTATAGACTATCATAGAATAATTTCTTAATAAAAAAATTTCTCCAAAGATGACTCGCAAAAAAGATAGTGGATGATAAATAGCCGTAAGGTTTTTCTAAATAATACGGCAAAAATAACCTTCACCAGAAAATATTTTTGAAGAAAGTGAAAATAGAAAGAACATACGCGATACTGACTTCAAAAGGAAATTCATCAATTGGAATTTCATATTTGAAACAAAAACATAGTAGTTTTGTCATGCGGTGTAACTGATCATTCGTAGACTCAACAATTAAATTGAAAAATTAGGTGCAAACTAAAAATTTATGCCTTCTCACAAATTAATTAAATACGTATTTTTTTTTCTCACCTAAACTTCTTTCATTTTAATTTCTCTTGTTCGTACATTGATATGATACTTATCTCCCCAATAATCATAGTCATATTATAAAAGGCGGATCCAGAATTTTAATTCTATATATGAGTTCAGCCTTTACGCTTCTATATATGAGTTCAACCTTTACGGTTTTTAGTATATAACCTATCTTTCCAAATATAGTAATGTGTTGATTTAATTGTAATGAGTTGGAATTGTAAGTTAGTATTTTTTGGTTTCTAGTCTCTATGTCACGTGCCTCGCACGTGTAATCCCTTTAACTATTTTTAAAATTACATCTAAAGATAATAAACTTTAGCACAAAAAATAATTTAAAACATTTATCTAATTTATACATGTAAAAAACCAAATCATACAAAATGTGCAAGTTCCAGCTTTTGATAATTGTTTGTATTGATTAGACATATTTTCAAATTACTACTATTTTAGTGAGATTTATCTTGGTCTCTCCTAATTGCTCAAAAGTTCTTCGTTTAATTTCATTTCCATCTCTATCTACTCATATTAGTTTACGGATCATATGATGACAATAGTCTTTCTGTTATGAAACAATAAAAGAAAAAGAAGAGTATTGTAGAGAAAAGTAGGGAGAGAAAATTCTTATTCACTGTGGGATGAATTACAATGGAATAAAATTCTTTATTTATAGGGAGTGGGTGACTTAGCCACCAAGTAATGAACCCTGGAATCTCTCTAAATATAGACATTCACCATAAATATAATTCTAGTTATAACACTCCCCCTTGAATGTCTATTTAACAGATAATGTACCTCGTTAACACCTTAACTAAAATAAAACCCAATGGGAAAAAAATTCTAAAGACGGAAAAAGAGTACATATATCTAACAATACGCCTTTTAATTGTCTCGTTAAAAACCTTGCAAGGAAAATCCAGTGGGACAAAACTTTGTAAGGGAAAAAGAGTACAACGCGTATTAACTCCCCCTGATGAGAGCATTAATTCACATCTTTAAGCATTTGCATTCCAATCTTGTGCACCATCTTCAAACGATCTTTGGTAGAGACTTGATAAACAAATCAGCCATATTAACTTGAATGAATATATTGCATCTTGAAATCATCATTCTTGATAGAGATGTAATGTCTTCATAAACTTCCGTAGAATGGCCTTTTTAATATCTCCATAGAGGTATTCTCGCTATCACATTATCATGCTTATAGTTATAGCAACATATGTGCACAAATTACACTTATCATACGGTACTTCGGGACCAAGAATTGTATATGCTTCAAGCGATTTAAATCCTTCAAGGATTGTCATATAAGTTAAGTCATATAAGCCATATAATAGACTTTAGATGCATATCAAGTTTTGTGTCATGCTAGACATATAAGATATCGAAAACTGATTGCACATACCATTGACTTTATACTTTCAAGTATTTGAACAACATAGACAAAATTATATGTCTTTCATATGGAATCAATTCTACTTGAATTATGTCTCTTCCATTTGGTCAATACTTTTGTGTCTATATTCGATAGACTTAAGATCCTCATCTATACTTAGCGCTATGATAGATGTCGTCGACAAACATTTTAAATCGGTTCCAATATTTTTTCATAAAGACATAACATAGAGATCTCTTCATTCATATATTCAGGTACCTGAATCTCTCATGAGACTTTATGAAGTGTTATGTCATGTGATCTAGAAGATCACTTGCCTCCTTTATTATGATCATTTGTTCATCTTCTTAATCAAGAAGTTTATTTGAAACCGATTTGTCTATATGGTTTAAGCGTACCATAGACTTTGTCCTTGTAGGACTTAATAGGAGCAGTTGCAATGAGAATATAGTTACTTTCTTTGGGTCAGCAAATGCGTCTAGCATACTTTGCAATATATTGCAGATGAATTATCTTTTTATGAACTTCAAGTTCATATTATCGTATTTGAGGATCTAGATATACAAATGATAATTCATTCCACATATTTTTTTCTCAACTGTTTATCGTCTCTCCCCCCCTCATGTTGGAAAAGCTAACTTGTTTTCCTCAACTTTGAAAGTTTATCTTTGTGCGTTATGGTGCTAATCAAAATACACATTGCAAATTAATAATAATATGATGGAATTATTTGGTTTCTGACCCTGAAGCACTTGTGATGGGAGAATGTAATATACTTTCGTATATAACCTATATCAAACTGATATAGATAACTTTGTTCTCATAAGCAATAGTTTAGCTATTAAGTGGAGGCACTCAATAAATCATTTTGCTAAACCAACTGTGATGTAACCCAACTTATCAAGATAAACTATCTTGGATAGAAAATCTGGAAATTATGCTCTAAATTAAATTATTGAGCAAATTACCTCGCAAACACTAAGTTACAGGTTAATAATAATCGCACATGTAACCATCTCATAGATACATCTTATGTGGTATACATGGCAGGTGAATGGGCCCATATTCACCTTTGATATTTCCAGCATTCATGGGATTCAATCCCAATTTTAGTTGGTCAATTTAATTAATGAGAACATGCAATATAAGAGAATTCGCAAAGAACTTTCTAGTTCTTTAATATTTCCCCATGTGAATTCTCTTTTATTTTTGCACATCATGGCTAAATCAGTTATGCCAACTAGATAAATTATCAAAATTGATAAACTTCAGGTTTACACCATGACACGTGCAATTATCAATAAACTTCAAGTTTATTATGATATAGGTTTTTATATCAATAAACTTCTACTTTATTGTTGCATTCTTTTATTTATGTAGTACAAATTGGAGAATAAAGCGGGTAGCTCCTCACATATATATTACCCCGCTACAAGTTGTAGTAATAGAAGATATTAAATCTTTCCTTTATTTATAATCTCAATATAATCGATCGCTTTCGCGTATACTTTAGAAACTGAATAAGTTTCTTTGAGACTTACTACAACACAATAAATTAACATGACAATCAATTGTATTCCTTCAAAATAATAATAATTGGCTCTTCCAAAGCTCTCAATTAATTTGGTGCTACCACATATTCATCAACATTCATATGGTGAATATCTCTTTTAAAGAGAAAGTTATACCATTATGGTTATGGTCAAAATTATATGCAAGATCTGTTTCTTGCATTACCGTTGTCTTTAAATAATCACATTGCCAAAATATTTTGGCGTACAGTAGGTACGTGACCAATGACCATTCATGTCATAATAATGACATTATTTTCTTATATCATCTCAAACCTCCTTCTAGAGGGGAGTATGGTATATTCACTACCACCAGCACGTTCATATTCTTCCAAGAATGAATATGTATTCATAAATAAGATGTTGTCACATTCACATCATGAATGTACCATAATCATCTATATGTGCTTTATAAAATCTCATGTCAAATCGATGACAAACATTACTTTCACAGAGTGAAGGATTATTTTGAGAATCCTTATTATTCTCATTACTCAATGATGACAATCATAATTTATTCGTCTATTGTCACGTCCACATCCATTGATACATTCATAGTAGTAATTTTGTCTTCTTTCAGACTTATCACATATTGCTATCACATTCTCTTAAGGGAATGAGAATGGAGCAAATTCAATGGGACGAGTTTTCAATTCTTTGCCCACAATCATACATGAATTTGATCATGGCCAGGCATAGAAATTTTACCACTTTGGGTGGTTATAATTTCTTTCAAACTCCATTAGAGTTGCAATCAAAATTTATCGTCTTTGTTTGTATTTAAAATCAAATTATAAAATGTCAAGAATTTGAAAGAGAAAAGTAAAATACTTGCCTTAAATTCAGAATTTAATCATGAAGGAAGTTCATAGAACAATTGACAATCATTATGCTCAATCCCAAAACTTCTACTCAATTGGTTAGAGTCCCCTGCTGATAATGTGTTATGAAACAATAAAAGAAGAAGAAGAGTATTGCAGAGAAAAGTAGGGAGAGAGAATTCTTATTGACTTTGGGATGAATTACAATGGAATAAAACTCTCTATTTATAGGGAGAGGGCGACTTAGCCACCAAGTAATGAACCCTAAAATCTCTCTAAATATAGACATTCACCATAAATATAATTCTATTTATAACACTTCCTTAATTATTGAAAAATTCACTTCTTTGTTTAGCAACAGAACTAACTTACATGTATTGTTGGAGTTCCAACTGCTGCTATTAATTAAAAATATATTAAACCGACAAGCATTATTTCGTAGGAGAAGTTACTTCGTCATATATTTAGAGAAAGGGACTGAATTAAATTCAAGCTTAAACTGCATCCAATATGGTGCAACTCCCTCGCTCTATTTGTCTTCATAGCAATCCCTATTGATGTTTCAAAATAAACATACAGAAACAAAAATTAATAATCATCAAAATCCTCACAGTAAAAAAAGATAGAAATTGATGATATTAAACTATAAACTACTTATATTTACCTTCTCAAAAGTTTGAGCCATAATAGATCAAGCGAGACATGCCAGGCCTGTTAGAGCGACAAATATCTATTAAATAGGTTTTAATTTTGTTTGATTGTTTTCCAAAATAAGTAAAACTTGTGAGTCAGAAAAAATTATAATTTCACCGTAATTTCTGATGATATTGGATCCTTTTTTGATTATGCTATCATTTCAGTTATTATTTGCTCATTTTCTGTTCTGTTAGAAAATTATAAATGAAATAAATCAAAACCTAATATAAAATAAAAACACACACCCGAAAAGACTGAACTTCCGGCTAACCCCTACCACCTCTCCCCCAAAATTCCAAACCACAATGCGAGAATATTACATGCACAAATAAAGGAATAATGAAAAGAGAAATTATAGAACTTGTCAAACTCTGGTGAATTTGTTGTTACGAAGCGTATCAAGCTAATAGAAGGAAAAGAATATTTAAGAGAGAAAAACAATAAATTGTACAAGACAAGACAAGATAAGATTTACATGGTTCGGCAATTTTTGTCTGCTCCACGGCCACACAAAGAATAATTCTTTATTAATTAAAGAGAGAAAGAAGAAGTTTTGGGATGATCTACATATGAAAATATAGACCCCTATTTATAGGCCTTTGAATGCCCTGCCGAGGTAAGCGCTTACATCATAAGAATGCCGATGTAAGCACTTACATTATAAGAATGCCGAGGTAAGCGCTTACATCGCAAGAATGCCGATGTAAGCGCTTACATCATATTTTTATCTCTACTTTGATTTTTCTTTCTTTTGTTTTGTCTATTTTCACATATAACAATAGGTTTGCTCCTATCAATCTCCCCCTCAAACCTATGTTACTTCAAGAAAGAAAAAAAATTTGCTATTCTCTGGTGGTGCCTTCACGCTATCAGTCTTGAAGGCTAACTGAGGCAGCGCACAACCTCAGTTTGTCAACACCGACAACTTTGGTCAACATGTCTGACGGGTTCTTTGATCCTGGTATCTTCTGTAGCGAAAGAGTTCCTTCATTTATCAACTCTCGGATATGATGATACCTCAACTGGATATGCTTCGATCTTGCATGAAACACTGGATTCTTGGCAAGATGAATTGCACTCTGGCTATCGCTGAAAAGCTCACAATTGTCCTGCTCTTTAAGAAAATTCTTAAGCCAAATCATCTCTTTTCCAGCTTCTGCGATTGCCATGTACTCTGCTTCAGTGGTAGATAAAACAACACTTTTCTGAAGTATGGACATCCAACTATCAGCAGTACCAAACAAGGTGAACACGTAACTCGTGGTACTTTTTTGACTATCCAGATCGCCACCTAAATTTGCATCAGCAAAACCTTGTAAGATAATATTGCTCTTTTTAAAACAAAGTGTCATACCTGAGGTGCCTTTGAGATATTGCAATATCCATTTTACACCTTCCCAATGCTCCTTTCCTGGATCTGACATGTATCTACTGACACCAACTGCATGGGCTATGTCAAGTCTAGTGCAAACCATAGCATACATCAAACTTCCTATTGCTGAAGCATACGGAACTTTGGACATGTACTTCCTTTCTTCATGTGTCTTAGGTAATTGGTCCTTTGACAAATTTAGATGGCTTCCGAGTGGAGTGCTTATGGTCTTTGCATCATGAAGACTGAACCTGCTTAGTACCTTCTGTATGTACTTTTCTTGAGACAACTTTAAGGTTCCTTCCGACCTGTTTCTGCTAATCCTCATCCCAAGCATTTGCTTAGCTGGTCCTAAGTCTTTCATTTCAAACTCCTCTGCTAGTTGTTGCTTAACCAAATTGATCTCATTTATGCTAGATCCTGCAATTAGCATATCATCAACGTACAACAGTAAAGTGATATAAGATTCATCAAGATTTTTGATATAACAGCAATGGTCCATCTCACATCGCGTGAAACCATTTTTATGCATGAATCCATCAAATTTCTTGTACCATTGTCGGGGAGTTTGTTTCAAACAATACGAACTCTTCTTCAACTTACACACAAGGTTTTCTTTACCAGAAACTTGACAACCTTCAGGTTGCTTCATGTAGATGTCTTCTTCAAGGTCACCATGCAAGAAAGCAGTTTTAACATCTAGCTGCTCCAAATGCAAATTTTCTGCAGCTACGATACTTAGCACCAACCTAATAGTAGTTAATTTGACTACATAAGAGAAGATCTCGGTGTAGTCAATTCCTTCCTTCTGCTGAAAGCCTTTTACTACTAATCGTGATTTGTATCTCTTCTTACCATCATGCTCTTCCTTGACTCTATACACTCATTTGTTCTGCAATGCCTTCTTTCCTTTTGGTAACTCCGTAAGTATCCATGTTTTATTCTTTTGAAGAGAATTCATCTCTTCTTTTATGGCTAGCTTCCACTTATCAGAGTCTATTACTTGCATTGCTTCAACAAAATCCTCTGGTTCTCCAGCATCATTTAGAAGTAAATAGTGAAGAGAGAGAGTTATCCTATCTGGAGCATTCGTGACTCATTTAGATCTCCTCAATGTAGGTTCATGAGTAACTGAACCCGAATTTGATTCAGGTTCTGATTCCAGATTTGGTTCTACATTTGATTCTATCTCTGGTTCTGATCTAGGTTCGGCTTCTAGTTCTTCTTCAAATTCGGCTTCTGGTTCTTCATCTTCAATTTCATAATCAGTTGTAATCCCTCTAGCCACTTCATTTTCTGAGATTTTTTCTAACTCAATTGTTTAGGATGTCTGTTTGCTGGTGTTGGTTGGTTCTACTTCAAGCTTGTCCTTGTACATCACATTTTCATTAAATGTGACATTCCTGTGTCTTAGGATCTTTCTATTCTGATCATCCCAAAACCGATAATCAAAATTATCATCACCATAGCCAATAAAGAAACATTTCTTGGCTTTAGGATCAAGCTTATCTCTATCATTTGAGTTTACATGCACATAAGCAACACAACCAAATATTTTCAGATGTGAGAGAGTTACCTCCTTTCTTGTCCACACCTCCTTAGGAATTTCAAAATTCAGCGGTACAGAAGGTCCCCTATTTATGAGATAAGCTGCCGTGTTAACAGACTTGGCCCAAAAATACTTTGGCAATCCAGAATGTATTCTCATACTTCTGGCTCGTTCATTCAGGGTTCTGTTCATCCTCTCAGCAACGCCATTTTGTTCCGGTGTTCCAGGAACTGTCTTGATCATTCTGATCCCATTCTCCGAGCAAAATGCTTTGAACTCTTGTCTATCATACTTTCCTCCATTGTCAGACTTCAGATATTTTAGCTTTAGACTTGTTTGATTTTCAACTTCAGCTGTCCATCTTTTAAAGGTAACAAATACATCAGATTTATTTTTCAAAAAATAAATCCATACCTTTCTTGTGGAATCATCAATAAAGGTGACATAATAGCGTGAGCCTCCTAGAGAAGTTACAGGAGTTGGTCCCCACACATCTGTATGCACTAGTTTCAGCTTCTCTTTCTTTGGTGTCCTTCCCACCTTTAAGAAACTAACTCTCTTTTGTTTCTCGTAAATGCAATCTTCGCACAAACCTAATTCAACATGTTTTAGGTTTGGTAAATTTTCTTTGGATGCCAACAGCTTCATTCCCTTCTTACTCATATGCCCGAACCTCCGGTGCCACAATGTTGTATCACGATCACGATCAACTATTGCTATAGTATCTCTCTATATTGCAGTTGCATACAATGCTCCCCTTTTGAAGCCTCGTGCCACAACCAAATTTCCTTTGGATATCTTCCACAATCCGTTGCCGAATGTTGTTATATATCCTTCACTGTCAATCTGACCCATAGATATCAGATTTTTCTTGAGGCCAGGAACATGTCGTATATTTTGCAATTTCCATAGCGTTCCTTGTGAAGTCTTTATACGAACTTCACCTTTCCCGGCAATGTCGAGAGGTTCGCCGTCTGCTAGATAAACTTTCCCAAATTTTCCAGCAATAAGTATAGAATACTTCTTTACATGATGTAGAGTGAAAGGATGCACCTGGTTCCAGAATCCAAGATTCGATAGGACTGTCTGCACAACAAATTAGTGCATCACCAACTTGTTCAGCAATTACATTTGCTGAATTTTCTTCCTTCTTCTTCTTTGGTTCTCTACATTGACTACTGTAGTGACCCTTTTTATCGCAATTCCAACAAGTAATGTCCTTGCGATTTTTGGATTGTCCTCTTCTCTTTGACTTTGATCTGCCACGACCATAACTCAGTCCTCTTTGGTTGCTTCTCCCCCTACTTTCGGTATTAAAAGCAGATTCTGGGGAATCACTTGATTCTCTTCGGCGAATATCTTTTCTTAGAACCAAGTCTCTAATATTATTCAATTTGAGTTTGGTACTTCCTGATGAACTGCTAACTGCAGTTACTGTTGCGGACCAACTCTCCAGTAGAGATGATAGTAGAATCAACGCCCTGATTTTGTCATCAATTGTTATATTAAAGAACTCAATTGAGTTAATATTATATTAAACTCATTGATATGTTCCGTAACTGATCCACCTTCTGTCATCTTTAAGTTGAACAATCGACGCATCAAATAGACTTTATTTGAAGTAGATGGCTTCTCGTACATATTTGATAACGCCTTCATCAGGCTTGCAGTGGTCTTCTCGTTAATGATGTTAAACACCACATTTCGTGTTAGCGTCAACCGAATCACACCAAGAGCTTGGCGATCTAATATATCCCAATCCGTTTTGGCCATAGTCTCTAGTTTCACCTCGGTCAGAGGTAAGTGTAATTTTTTCTGGTACAAATAATCCTCTATTTGCATTTTCCAGAATCCAAAATCTTTGCCATTGAACTTGTCAATCTTAACCTTTCCTTCTCCCGATGCCATTTTTCACAAAAACAATTTATGTGAATAGTGCTTGTGAATAGTAACGATGATCAATAGTGTTGCACTATTCTTGTGAATAGTACCTGCACCAATACTGTACATTTCTATCAGAAATACACTGTCTGTGCTCTGATACCAATTGTTAGGAAGCGTGTCAAGCTAATAGAAGGAAAAGAATATTTAAGAGAGAAAAGCAATAAATTGCACAAGACAAGACAAGATTTATGTGGTTCGGCAATTTTTGCCTACTCCACAGTCACACAAAGAATAACTCTTTATTAATTGACGAGAGAAAGAAGAAATTTTGGGATGATCTACAAATGAAAATGTAGACCCCTATTTATAGGCATTTGACTGCCCTACCGAGGTAAGCGCTTACATCATAAGAATGTCGATGTAAGCGCTTACATCGCAAGAATGTCGATGTAAGCGCTTACAACATATTTTCATCTCTTTTTTATTTTTTTTTCTTTTATTTTGTCTACTTTCACATACAACAATAGGTTTGCTCCTATCATTTGTTACCTACACGGAGTTGCATGTTTTTGGCACTATTTTAAAGGGAATCGTAATGTGTAATAAACAACAAAGAACATTCATGGCATGACTAATTTCCTACACATCAAATAGTTGGGCATAAATTAAGTAATACTAATAAATTAAGTGCAATATTCATTATAATATTGTGTATGAGAACATAATTAAGCTAATTAAATAGT